GACAACAAAGCTCACTTTTGCGTCACGATTTGGAACACCGAGCTGCCTCCCTCGCGCGCAATGATCGTCGACGAGGCGCTGCCGGGGGGGGAGGGGGGGGAAGGAGTGGGGGCGGATCAGCGTTACGCACGAGAACGTCAGGGTGCGCCTCCACGGGCGGGCGGGCGGGCCACTCACAGGAAGAAGTCCCAGATGCGGTACAGCTTCTCGCCGTATTTGGGCACGATTTTCTCCTTGTTGCCCTGCCAGTTCTCCAGCCAGCGATGGATGGTGGCCGAGTAGTGCACGCCGAGGACGTCTGCGCTGCGCACCTCGAAGCCGGCGGCCTCGAGCTGGTTGATGACCCAGCCAATGCTGCAGCTTGCATCTGCGCCGCGGAAGATGTACTTGTTCATGAAGAGGCCCCACACGAGGTCCCAGTACTGCCACTTGGGCCTCAAGCCGGCCACCTGCAGCAGAAACGTGCCGTCGTCGTCGAGACGCGTGTAGATGTCGCGCAGAAACTTGGCGTAGTGTCGGATGCCTACGTGTTCGGCCATCTCGAGAGAGACAATCTTGTCGTAGTGGCCCGCCTCGACGGGAATGTCGCGGTAGTCCATGCAGAGAATGCGTGCCTTGTCGGGCGACACTCCGGCGCGTGCAATGCGCTCGTTGCCAAACTTGGTCTGGTTGCGCGCCAGTGTGACGCCCGTAGCGTCGCAGCCAAAGTTCTTTGCCGCAAACGCAGTCAGAGTGCCCCAGCCACAGCCAATGTCCAGCAGCTTGTCCGACGCCTTGAGCTGCAGCTTCGAACACACGACCGACAGCTTGTTGTCCTGCAGCTCCTCGAGCGTCTCCTTCTTGTGGATGTCGGAAATCATGCCCGACGTGTAGATCATCTGCGGCCCGAGGAACCAGCCGTAGAAGTCATCGCCCCCTGAAGCGAGAGAGAGAGGAGGGGGGGGGGGGGGGGTTAGGTGAGCCCGCTTGCCCCCCGCAACGTGAGCCCACCGCTGACTCGTCGGCTCCAAACTCACGGTCGTAGTGGTCGCGCACCTGCTCCATGTCCTGCTTCTCCGTGTGGCGAATGACATCGGGAATGAGGACGGAGAAAACAAACTTGAAGAGCTCGGGCGTAAAGGCCATGCTGGCCCAGTCGAGGCGATACTCGAGCACCTCGAGCATGTCGCGCCCCGCGGCCAGGTCGATCTGGCCCTCAAAGTAGGCGTCGTGGAAGACTTGCATGGGAATCTTCTTGTGGCCATTGTACTTTGCCCGCAGCGAGGCGTCGTTGATCTGGAGGTAGTACTCAATCGGGCCTGGGGAGTGAAGTTGGGCACACATCAGCTGCTGGCGCGCGCGGGCGGTGCAAGAGGCAAACGACAGCTCGTGCCGCCGCCATCCACTCACGCCCCGGAAGCTCGACCTTGTCGTTGATGCGCGGCCCAATGGCACTCATCACCGTCCAGTACGCCACGGTGACGGGCACGCCAAAGAGGGCGACGAAGACAAAGTACACGAGCCAGCTCATGCTCGCCACCTTGACGAAGGGCACGAAGCGCAGCAGCACGGCGGGCGTCAGCAGCACGAGGGCGCAGAGGTGGTAGTTGGAGAAGCTGCCGTTGCCCTCGGCGGGCAGAGGCGCGTTGGCAATGGCCGCCTGCAAGTGGGGGGGAGAATGAGCATGGAGAGAGACAGGCAAAAGGCAAGCACACAGGCCGCAGAGCACGCGCGTGCTCGCCCCCCTTGCGAATGCCCCGTTGGAGCAAGAATGCAGAGGGCACTGCAACACTGGCACAGGCACGACGTTGAACCCTCCCCTCTCCCCC